GAATGTTGAACCATCTTTGCATCCCTGGGATAAATCCAACTTGGTCAGGGTGTTTGATTTTCTTGATGACTCTCTGTATTCTGTTTGCCAGTATCTTGCTGAGGATTTTTGCATCTGTGTTCATTAGGGAGATTGGCCTGTAGTTCTTTTTTTTGGGTTGGGTCTTTCCCTGGTTTTGGGATCAAAGTAACACTTGCTTCCAGGAATGAATTTGGAAGTATTGCTTTCCTTTCAATTTCTTGATGAGTTTAAAGAGTAATGGTGATAGCTCTTCTTTAAATGTCTTGTATAATTTAGCAGTGAAGCCATCAGGACCTGGGCTTTTCTTTGTTGGTAAATTTTTTATTACATTTTCACTCATTATAATTGGAGTGTTTAGAATTTCTCTATCTTCTTCATTTAACTTTGGCAATTCATATGTATCTAGGAATCTGTCCATTTCTTCTGTGTTTTCCATTTTATTAGAGTACATCACCTAGCATTTTTAGAAGTAACTTTATCAGTAAATCAAAGACAGCCAAAGCCAAGAACATAGAGCAAAACAATGGGCCAGTCTTCCAAGTACAGGTTTATGCCAAAGAATCCCAGTGTACATGGAGAGCTTTGGTCCCTTTTACTGGGAAGCGAGACGTCTGGTCTGGATGGGCTACACCACCTGGCCCAGGCAGTGTGTGTGGGAGGACCTAAAGGCTGTTGCTTAAAATCAGCCATGGTGTAGAGTCATTTACAACTTAAAAATTGAAAATGGGGCCTGGGATTTAGCTCAGTGGTTCCACCGCCTGCCTCGCAAGTGCAAGGAGTTCAATTCCCGGTACTTAAAAAAAAAAAAAAAATTGAAAATGGACAAACACTTCAGATGAGGCTGGTTCTTAGGGAGTGGGTTGTTGCGCTGGCTGGACCCTCCCCACTTCCTTGCCCCTTGGCTCCCTGGCTGCTTCCTACTTAGCATTATTGGGGTCTGTATCACTCCTCTCAGCCTCACTTCCATCTCATTTTGTCTCCGGAGCCTGGGTCCGGAGGGCCCACTGTCCAGGGGGGAATGCCCTAACTCATCCCCGCTGGCGAACGAGTGGTTATACTGGACCCTTTTCTTATTTCTCTAGCTGGAAGGGAGGTCTTATTTCTCTGACAATGAGCAGAGAGACTTGTACAGTTGGAATCAGCAACCTTAATCTCCAAGCATGGAAAAGGATTTAGGAAGGGGCCATCTGTACCCCAATCCTACTCAGGGGAGACCCTGAAGGGAGGCTGTTCCTTCTGCCCTCCACCGTCCAGGCCTTGTGCAGCAACAGCGGATTAGGCAGCTCTAACTCTCTAGTTAGACGCCCACACTACTGGCCACCTGGGAGAGAATGGCAGGCACTTGAGAGGTGACAGGAAAATTGTCATTTTTTTCTGAGGGCATCTAGCAAGAGCCTGGGAGGGCACAGACCTCAGAGGGAGAGCAGAGCTGCAGAGGGGGGAGGAGGGTGCTGAAGAGGGAAGAGGTAACTGCCAGGCGTGGGCCAGGCAATTTGAGTTCCTCACTCGGCCGTCTCCTGAGCAGCCCAGAAGACTGTCATTTCTGAAGAGAATTGTTATGATTGGGCTTTGTGTGTCAAATCCAGGCATAGGAGTCTGGAAGGAAAGGCTGTGGCAGGTGCCCCACTCCGTGCCCATTAGCCCATCTTTGCCATCCAGCCTGGACCCAGGAGAGGGAAAGGAACCCAGAGCTTTTCTCCTTTGTTTTTCTTCCCCTGCAGCTCATCCTGTAAGGGAAGAAAAAGAATGTCACAAGGTTCTTTGGAGATTCTTAAACACTGGAGTTTCCCATCCTCTCTACAGGGCTTACTGCCACAGTCTCCATACCTTGGAAACCCCACGCTCCTTGGAAAGCACCTTAATGGTCCTGTTGATGTCCGCTGTGGCCTCAGCCACAGATCATGAGGAAGAAAGGCCATCATCAAGAAGAGAAACAGATTCAGAGAGGCTCAGGCCTTGCCTGCAGTTGCTTTAAATGGTAGGGCTTGCACTGGGGCCTGTGTTCTGGCCTTGGTGTCTCAAGATGTGGACCAGTCAAGGTCAACTCATCCCTCCCACCTGCCCTGGGGCGGGCACTTAGCTTGCAGGAATGTTAAGGGCTGGCCATGTGCTCCCTGAAGGCTGGGGCTATTCTATTTCTGTTGGCTTCTTGCTCCATCCTGGTCATGATACTCAGCCTGGGTCCTTGTGGAGGTGGGGGAGACTTAGTCACTCTCTTCTGCCTGGCTCCCTCCCGGCTCTAAGTGTGGCCTAAGGAATAGGAACATGGCCCAGAAGTGCCAGGCACGATTCCCTGTCGCTGCCAGGTTACCAGTTTACCTGCTTGTCTCCTGTGGCATTCTGAGTGGGGTGTGAATTTCATCTCCACATGACATCCTTGATCTTAGTTGTTCTGGTCTCTAAGCAGCAAGAGCTGCCTTGATTGAGGCTGAGGTGTGAGGCCAGCCTGGCTCCCGGCTGGCCTGAAATCTCAGGATGCTTCTGTCATGATGGAGGCTGCTGTTCTCTCCTGCGACTTCACCCTCCTTGCCACTTCCCTGGGCCCAGGTGGGGAGGAGGACCTTTTGGACCTCGGGGGTCACAGGAATGAAGAACAGGGTTCCAGAGCGACCATGTTTACCATCTTGCCTCTCAGTTGGTCCCACTGACAAGAAACAAGTTTCCCAGACAAAAATGCTAATGACCAATAAGAGGAAGTCAGGCTGACCCTGGGAAATAATGGTTAGTAAATATTGCCTTCCCTAGGGCCTGGGGATTTAGCTCAGTGGTTCCGCCGCCTGCCTCGAAAGCACAAGGTCTCAAGTTCGATCCCCAGTACCAAAACAAAAAAAATAAGCAAAACATTGCCTGCCCTGATTCTGTGGGCATCAGTAGTACAGGAAGACTGTCTGCACTGGGAGGAGGGTCGGACAGGGGGTGGTGTTCATGATGGTTGAGATCCTTCTTCCCTCCCACAGACCACAGAGTCTTTGCCTTTTGTCCTCACCCAGGCCATGAGGCTTTGCCTGTCACTCCTCCCCACTCCCAATAGCCCCCATGCACTTGAGGACCATGGAAAGTTAAGGGGATCTTACTTTGGCTTCATAAAAGAATACATTCTACAGTCATAGCCTGAAAGAGACAGAAGAAGCCAGACTCCCAGCCTTTCACCTTCTGGAATAGTGGAAAGTTGGAAACAACCGGAATGTCCAGCAACAACGAGCAAGTAGCCAAAGTGCTAGATCCATCCACCCCGCGATGGAGCCATAGACATGTCACGAAGACAGGCACATGATGGCTAGGTATCTAAAGAGCCACCTGGGAGCACTAGAAAGTTGAGAAGGCCAGGTGCCAACACGTTCACACTGACTAGTTCCAGATGATGGGGCTTGGTGATTATAGTTGTGCTAATCAATATCTTCTCAACCTCTAAATTGGATTCCTAGGGGTATGGGCCAGTGTCCTGTCATACCTTTGGTCCACTGAAGACTGGCCCTGTTTGGCGCATGGGCACAGAGTAGGTCAGGCTGGAGATGGGTTCTGATTCTGGAATGTAGCTTTGGTCCCAGAGTTGATTAAGCAATATTGATGATGAGTCCACCTGTGCTCGGCCCCCATGGTCTCCTGCCTGGAGGAACTTAGGGTCTCATTTTCGAGGTAAGATAGGCATTTATCCGAATACAGGCATTGAGCCCGTTGTGGGAGCTATCCTAGGCATCACCTTCATAGGAGTAAACAAACATCTGCAGGTTTCCAAGTGTGCCGCGTGATACAAGTGTGGTGTAAAGTGTGATGAGTTTAGAGGGGATCAGGGGGCGTGACAGGAGGTGGTCTTGGAACTGGATTCGAGGAGCAGCAGTACAAGGTGGTTGGGCATGAGGGCGAGACCCAAAGGGTGTAGGAAAAACCAAGCTTCCTTTCCTCTCCAGCTGCACCAGGGTTCAGGCCCACATCTCTGTGGCCTGGAGCTTGTTCGTTCCTCCCAGCTCTGGTTCCCCCATCCACAGTTGCAGATCATTTCCTAGCCTCCTCTCCACTCTGCAGCCATCTCTTCCCATTGTCAGGATTTTGTGAGCATAAATAATCTAAGCTTTATCTGGGAACTCCTACCTGGCTTCTTGCACTTGTCACTTGGTAGTTCGACTGCTCTGGTTTGTTGATTCTGCCAGCTTTGACATGGTCTGATGGTCCCATCGCTCCTACCTCTGAGCTGCCCAAATGAGTTCAGCAGTGAAATCAGGGAAAAGATGCAGGGAGTCCCTGTGTGTCCCTTGAAAGCTTGCCTTTAGCAAGAGGCTCAGAGGATCCCGCAGACCCCCAAGAGGCCAGCTCAGTGGTAGACATGGAGGAAGAGTCCGAGAGTTGGGCAGCACTGCTCCCGAGGCCTGGAGTCCCAGGGATTTGCTCCACGGCTGTACTGCAGCTGGCCTTTGTGCTATGCCCAGCAAGCCTGTGACAGCAGCCAGGAGGAGAAAGTCTGCCTCCCACACTCTGCCAGCTGCTGTGCATGCTGCAAGCCTCCCTGGTGAGAGATGGAGGCAACATGGAGTCAAGTATAGGAAGGTCCTTAGCAACTCCCCACTTCAACCCTCCTTGGAGAAACTGAGGCGGGGCACTAGTCCCCAGTGGGTGAAGGGTAGAAGAGTGGCTTAGCCAGTTTGGGCCCCCATCTTTGAAGTTGGGATGTCTTGACAGATGAGATTAGGAGGTCCTCAGCCCAGGGTCCAGCCTTACCTTCCAGGGGCTGAGGGCCAGAGCACAGAGACTGGTCCTGGCCCTGCCCTTACCCTTCTGACTTGTGGGATAAAGCACATGGGCTTTAGGATCAGGGACTGCCCTGTTTGTGCCATGCACTGGCCTGGTGGCCTTGTTTGTCAAGAATCAGAGGCTGTTTCCTTATCTGCCAAGTGGGTTGTTCTGAGGAACCACTAGAGCAGGAACTCAAGTATCAGTTCCCAGAAGCAGCCTGCTTCACTGGGCCCATTTAGACAAGGTGCTAACTTGATTTCCTTCTGTGTCCATGGAGGTAGGTACCCATGAAATGACTTTACCTCTTAAGAGCCAAGTGCAAGGAGGTTTTCTGATGCTGGGGTGGACAGGAGCAAAGAGGATGGTGTCTGTCCCCCATCTTGAACTGCTGGCTGTGCTGTGTGGGAAAGTAAAGAGTCCAACAAATTAGCATTGTTTCTCTCTGATGAAAGCCACCCAGAGGCTGGAAGTTGCTTCTTCCTGCTGTGCTTTGATAGTCCTTCTACTTCCAGGGTCTCTAGTGATCTCTGAAGACCCTGGGGAAGACTAGGAACTGTCCAGTTGGGTCTCTCAGCTCCCAGCAGAGGCAGCCTGGCACTCTGAGCTGTGAGGGTCTTAGGGAGCCTTAACCCAAACCCTCCTCCCTCTCCATACTATCTCCGAGCTTGTCTCTGGGGAGTTGGGCTGGTGATCTCTGTACAGCTCGGATTAGTGACGGAGCAATGGCCCAGCCTTGCTGAGTGTGTGTCCCCGCAGCATGGGGCTGGCCTGCTGCACAAAGGTGTCCTGTTGACTTCTCATGTCCTCCCTGCAAGTGGGGTGAGAAAGGCCAAGTTCAGAGCTCTCACCGGAGGCAACCCAGACACTGGAAAAGGCAGCCTTACCTTTCTGGCTCCAGAAATGAGCTCATGCGTCTTAATGGCCCCAGTCCCCACCTGCCTGAAGACAGTGATGGTGTTGGCTGGGCTCCAGGTTTCAGAAGTGCCATGGACAGAAGGGACAGATTTGATTTGTATGGGACCCAGAGCAGAAAGAACAAAGAGGTACAGAAGATTCTGCAGGAAACCCTGAAGATCTGCAAGAAACTCTTCCTTCCAGGGCAGTCAGCAAGCAGATGCAATGAGAACCTTATGGATCCCGAAATCCTGTGAGCTTCCCTGAGCCCCTGGCTTCTGTCAGAGATGGTGTCCCTGGGCTGTGGAGGAGGTTGCTTCTAGCTGGGTGGCCCAGGGAGCCATGAGCATTACCAGAAGTGGAAGGCAGACACTCTTGTTGCATCCCAGGATGCCCTGAAAACAGACCTTTTTTTATCTCCCTTCTTTCATATCTTGCCTCTGCCACTTCCTGGCTGTGTGCTCTTGGGCAAGTTACTTAACCACTGTGTGCTTCATCTTACTATAAGATGGAAATAATAATAGTACTCAATTCAATTATTGTGTGGGTTAAATAACTTAATTAACATAAAGAGCATAAGTCAGCGAGCACTCAACACATGTCATTCTAAAAACCGTTATCAAGCTGGACACAGTGGTGCATGCCTATAATCCAAGTCCTCTGGAAGCCTGAGGCAGAAAGATCTCAAGTTCTAGCTCAGCCTGGGCAACTTAGTGACTTAGCAAGACCCTGTCCAGGACCACACACACACGCACATTCCCACACACTATAACAACAAAACAACTCAGCACAGAGCTCCTGAGGCCAGGCTCCTTGAAAAGTCTCCCTTTGCTGGGAACACGCTGGCACCAGAGCCTTGGGGAGGATAGGCCCCGGGGAGCTCCTTGGCCCTGCCAGGATGGAGGTTGTAGAGCGTACTAGAAATCAGATGGTAGCATTCTTGGGCCCAAATCTGCTTCCTATTAACTATGTGCCATGAAGCTGTCTTTCCTAGCCTCAGTTTCCCTGTCTCCATAGTGGACTGAGGAGCCCATGTGCTTCTGCATTCCCGCAGCTGTGGAAGTGCTTTGTAAACTGAATACTGTGAGGAGCTGTCCAAGCTGTGGCCTCCCTTCTCCCTCTCCTGGTGGAGCCAGGGAGTCACCATATCCCAGCTACCAAGCCCAGGGGAGGAAGGTGTCTGTCTCCAGGATATTCAGCTGTGTGGGTCTGTCCAGAGGATAGAAAGCCACCTGTTTTGGAGGGTCACAGAGCCCCAGGCACTGCCCACCTTTCCCACAGGACACAGGCAGGGGAAGGGAGGGAAGCAAAGAGCTTGTGGAAGGTCCCAGTGTGGGGTCTGTCAACCTGCTGCTGGGGCAGCAGGGCCTGGCAGCCTGTTGAAAGCCTTTGGAGGGTTAGGGTAACTAGAGCCCTCCCTACATGTGGAGGAAGTTCTTAGAGCAGTTAGATGCATTACACACACACACACACACACACACACACACACGCACACACTTTGATATACCTCTGGGCACATCCAAAGACCTTCTCACAGCCGCCCTTAAGGATAGACGAGTCGGGCCGGGGATTTAGCTCAGTGGTTCTGCCACCTGCCTCGCAAGCGCAAGGTTCTGAGTTCGATCCCTGGTACCAAAAACAAAACAAAACAAAGGATAGACGAGTCTACCTGGGTGTCCATCACTGGCAGAGTAGAGAGACAGAGAGGGGTGGGTACATGGCGTGGTGTGGTGGGCAGCAGTCAAAAGCAGCAGATCAGATGTGCACAGGGCCCGTAGACTGGGTGAGTCAGCAGTCCCGTGCCAGTCGTTGGCCCTGATACTCTTGCCCACTGAGAGGAACCAGCACTTCTAATGCTGATCCCAAGGGCTAGGGCAGGGAAGGCTCATGATGACTCTTACTAGAAAGTAAGAAAGTGCATCCCCCAAATGCTGAGAGCATGACAAAAGATACGGGAAGGGCTGGGGATGTAGCTCATGGTACAGCACTTACCTGGCATGCACAAGGCCTTGGGTTCTGATCCAGGCACTGCTGTTAAAAAATAAAGAAGCCAGGTTGAAGAGGCCTCCACTGGCTAAATCTGGGCACTAAATTAATTAAATGCAATAATGCCTGTTAAGTCACTAGAAACACAGGAGTCCATAGTGATGATAAATAAATAAATGGGAGAGGAGGGAAGGCTTTAGCTTACATAGGGACTGCTAATGTTGGAAAATCAGCATCCAAAAGATCAGATCATGCAAGACTCTTCTCTGGGTGCTAAATCAGAGTGAAAGGGGAGCAGCAGTGGGATATTTGCATGCTTTTAAAATGTGCCTCCACAGACCTCTTGTTAATTGCTAGGGAGAAAACAGTAATTATACAGTAGACAAACTGAGCACCACATTAATCAAGTGGTCATCAAAATTGACAAATAAGAGGGTTGGGGATTTACCTCAGTGGTGCCTCCAGCTGCTTCGCAAGCGAAAGGTCCTGAGTTCGATCCCCAGTACAAAAAAAAAAAAATTGACAATAAGATGGATTTAACGTGGCTTCCAGTGTGAAGTCCCTAAAACAGGCCACCTGTGCAGTCTTTCAGCTGGGCACACGTCCTTCCAATCTCACGACAGACACAAAAAGAGGGTTGTCTGTTTTCCAGATTGGGAAACTGAGGTACAAGGAAGTAACACAAGTAGGTGGTAATGCTGGGCCTTCAGCTTAGGTCTTCCTATTCCTTGGGGTCTGTGTTATGTGATGCTGTCCCCTCATTTATACCTCAGTGTATTGGGCCTTGGATTAGTTAGGTCATTACTTTATATCTGTTACCATGTGGGGCTTGGGCTGAGTTTTAAGAAATGCCCTAATATCCTTATATATATTGAGTGGATGACAATTTGAAACTTGACTTCCACAATCCACACATTAGTTGGAAATCAGAGCTTAGCAGGAGATCAGTTTGCTCTGACTTCAGAGAACTGAATCTCTGGGTGAGGACCCACACAACATGGCCTGGGACTTCGCAGAGAGCTCTTAACAGGCAATGATGGGAGGGACACAATATCGAGAGTCCTGGTAAGGTGAGATTTTAACCGATTGTCCTTAGATGGAGCCAAGACAGTCAGGTCTCCTCCTTTGGCGACTCCTCAGGGCCACCATAGACGAGAGTAGTGATGACGAACCTTTTAGAGCTTTCAGTGATAATAAACAGCCTGCTGTGGGATGTGTGCCATAGGTTTGCCACCCCTGGACTAGAGAATGGTGTGTCCATGATCAGTAAGAATTCCCATACGGCCCATCTTCAGCCCCTTCTCTCTTGGCCAGGATATTCTTAACTTCATGGACAGAACATTCTTTTTTAACAGTGATACTGAGATATGTAATATATTAGGTGATTATAATGTAACAGTATATAGCATGTATATCACATACCATGAAATTCAACTCATTTAAAGTATACGATTCAATGGAGTTTGGCTTAGCACATTATTTTTTAAATTGTGACACTAAAAGCTGGGCATGGTGGCACACATCTGTAATCCTGGCACTTGGAAGGCTGAGGTAGGAGGATTGATGTGAGTTCAAGGCCAGCCTGGGCTACATAGTGAGTTCAAGACCAACCTGAACATAGGGCCTGCCTCAAAATAAATAAAATGTGACACTATAACAAAATTTGCCATTTTAACCCTTTTTAAGCAAATAGTTCAGCAGCATTAATCACATTCACAGTGCTGTGAAACCATCACCATCATCCATTTCCAGAATGTTCCTGTCACCCCAGCTGAACTGTAGCTATTAAGCAATAACTCCCATCTCCTCTTCCCCACCCCCAGGAACCTCTGTTGTACTTTCTGTCTCCACGAACTTGACTCTTCAGATCCCTTACAAGAGGAACATACAGCACTTGTCCTTCTGGGCCTTCTTTCATTGTTTTCAGGGTTCATCCATGTTGAAGCAAAGTGACTCTCCCTCCTTCTTATGGCTGACTCTTATTCCATGGCATGGATAAACCATGTTTTGTTTATCCATTCCTCTGGTGACAGACTTCCAGTTATTGTGATTAGTGCTTCTCAGAGCACGCTGTAGCTGTTCTTGAGGATCTAAATCATTCATTCTACCTAGGTGTGAAATTGCAGGCTTACTGCTATGCAAACGCAAAGAACTGAGTTCGATCCCCAGTACCCCCCCCCCAAAAAAGAAAAAGAAATTGCAGGCTTATATGGAAATCTTGTTTAGCTTCTGAAAAATGGGTACTTTTTTTGAGACAGGGTCTCACTATGTAGTCCAGGATGGCTTAGAACTTGCAGTGATCAGGAGGCCTCAACCCCCTGAATTCTCGGATTATAAGTCTGCACTTCCATGCCCAGCTGGTTCTTATTTTGAAGAATGTCTTCCTCCCGGTGGCTGTAGTACCCTGGGGGCCTCAAACTGCACCCCTGGGGCTGGGCACCAGGAGCTGAGCCCTGGGCCCTGGGCCCTAGAGGGCTGCCCCTGCTCACTGGTACTCCAGGTCTTCTGTTCACCGCCCCTCTGCCCGTGCTCTCTGCCTCTCTCACCTGTCCCCTCTCTCCCCAGCAGATGTGCCTGTGGAGAAGCTGGCCACCATGCCAGCCCTGCGCACTGTCAATCTCCGCCTCAACCCACTGAGCGCCGAGGTGCGTGTCATCGCCCCGCCACTCATCAAGTTTGACCTGGTCACATCCCCAGAGGGTGCACGAGCCCCTCCACCTTAGGCCGTCCTCTTTGTGCCCACCCAGCAAGGGCCAGAGGCCACCGGCCTGACACCCAGGGCCCATGGGAGTCTAAGCTTAGGGAAGTGGGGGATAGGCCAGACATCGTGTGGGGGAGGGTATTGCCGCTGGCCCAGGGCAGCTAGCTTAGAGCCGTAGTGGGCCCTGGACCACCCCGAGATCAGAGGTGAGGCCGTGCTGGCTCTTTACAGACTCTGAGCCTTGTCACTTGGGAAGAGAGGTGGCAGCCCAGAGCCTTTCCTTCTTTGGGCTCCTTGGAGGTTTTACCTCCAAATCATCAGGCACCTTCTGAGCTCTTAGAAGAGCACTGCTGAGCATTTTCTGGGCCCTGTGGGTTCGAGGCCTTGTTTCTAGTGCTCAGAGCCAGTCACTGCCCTAGGAGGAGAAGAAGACAATCCCCATCTATTTATTGCTTCCTGAGAACTGAACTGAAGGAGACCCTTCCCGGGACCTCACCCCCAGCAATATGGGTCTGGGGGCTGTCAGGGGCCTGCACCAGAAGTCCTGGGCATGTGTGGAGAGGGTAGCTCTGCATAGTAGGGCAAGGATGTCTGTAAAGGAGCCGGGACCCAGGGAGAAAACCAGGGCTGCTCCATCTGTCCTCATGGTGAAGAGAACCGTGGGAGCCTCTGAGTGCTCAGCCCTCCCCAGGGAGTGGCCAGCTGTGCCTGCTCATCAACCCCTGAGCCACAGGAGGCTGCCTCAGAGAGAACAAAGCCATTTGGGCCTGTGGCACCAGTCCAAAGTAATTAGATGGCTACCCTCGCCATGGTCTCTGTGTAGCCGAAGGCTGGCAGCCTTGTCATGGGCCTTTGGGGACAGAAGACACTGTGGACCACCGGATTTGTAACCTGCCAGCTCCAAGGCCACCACTGAAGTCCCTGATGACCTAGCTATTTCAAGGCCCCCACCCTGAGTCTAGGGTGTGGCCGGGCAGTAGGGTGACCAACCATTCTGTTTTGCCTGGAACTGGGGGATTTCACGGGATGTCAGACTTCTAGTGCTAAAATTGGGACTGTACCAGGCAGGCAGGGATGGCTGGTCCCCTCCCAGAAGAGTCCTGGGGTTCTTGCTTTCTGGTAAAACCTGCCCTTTGAATCCCTGGTATCTACCTCTCACATCTCATCTGTGGAGTGAGCAACTCAGCGCCCCAGGCCCCACCTGGTCTGTATGGCTGTCTGGGCCTGGGGAGGCCTCCGAGACCATAGGACTTGGGCAGAACGGGGCCACTTCACCGCTCCTGGGTTTAGGCTGTCCAGAGCTCAGAGCAGGAGCCCCATCTCAGCACCCCCCGCTTCCCTTTCCCTCCCTGGTCTCCTGTCTCTTGGCAAGGGGCTGCCAGGTTGGACACTGATTAGTCCTTGTCACTCAGTATTCAGGGTCCCAAGTGAGATCTTGTTCCCTCCAAGGGCTGGTTGGCCAAACTCTGGAGAAAGGGTCTCCAGAGTGAGGCGGTCAGGCAGGATCTTCAGGGATGCTGGACTCAGCCATGGACACCCAGGGCAATGAGACCCTCGAGTGCAGCCCAGGCTGGGCTGGTCTCACTCTGTCTGTACTAGGAGCGGGATTTTTCTTATTGAGGAAGAGCCTGCTTTTGGGGGATGCTTGAAGCCATCGTATGGCTGCAGCCTTGCAAAGGGAAGCATGGTCAGTGGACAAGCAACTGCATCATCATGAGGAGCCTGTTAGAAATACAGCATCTCAGGCCTCGCCCCAGCCTCTTGAGTCAGAACCTGCATCTTAGCAAGGCCCCCAGCTGATCCCCACAAGTACTTCCTACTTTGAGAAGTAAGGACCTAGGTGTGACCTGGGATGTCCTTGGAGTGGAAGGCGAAGGCTCTTAGTTCTCCCTGCTGCCTCCAGGCATCTGAGTCTATCCTCAGCCTCCTCCTAACCCAACCTGAGATACGTTGGCCTCTTCCATCTTTGTAGACTCTGTGTGACACTCCCTGTGAAGGGAGTGACTGAAGTCACTAGGTTATAGGGACTGGGCATTTGAGGCCCTTCAGATCTGCCTCTCTGGTTCACACAAGCTACCTGCATCCTGGGTTTCACCCCAGGTCCCCTGAAAGGGTTGCTGTTGGAAGTTGTTTTCTCCTCTGCTTGGGCAGATTGCCCTTGCCTCTTTGGGGAAGCCTGGGCAGGCAGAGAAGCCCCCAAATCCAGGCTCACAGTGTGAGTGAGCCCCTTAGCTTCAGCCTGCAAATAAAGAATGCATTGGTTTCATCTGCTTGGTTGGTGTTGGATTCATTCTTCACACACAGACCTCCCGGAGCCCGGCTGGCACCAGCACCCCTGCAAAGAGGGTTGACCCTCCTGTGGAAATCACAGGTAAAGGAAACCAGGATGGGGTGATACTCAGAATAGTCACAGGTGGACAAGGCTGCAGCCAAGCAGATCAAAGCATGGCCTGCCGCTGGGCCACTGCAGAACCACCAGGTGTCACCCTGGGGAGGATGAGAGACCCGAGATTCTCAGTTGCCCCTATTGGTGCCAACCATGTCACTCTTGGTAATTCATTCCTTGGGCCCATGGCTCTCAAAGAGCAGTCTCTGGACAGGCAGCATCAGTACCAGCAGGGAGCTGGTCAGAAATGCAGATTCTTAGCTCAGTGGCACTGCACTTGCCTCACAAGCATAAGGTTCTGAGTTCGATCCCCAGTACCGAAAAAAAAAAAAAGAGAAAGAAATGCAGATTCTCAGACTCAACACAAATCTACAGTCAGAAACTCAGAATCAGAATCAGCATGGTTTTGGCTTCAAGGTTAAGCAAGGTTTTGTTTTTTTAAATCTGAGTGTCCAACTTGAGTGTGATTTGAATTGTAGACCAGACACTCAATGATTTTTATTTCACAGGTGCATAGAGGACTAGTGGGTAACAGGCAGTGTCTCTGCATGTTACAGATAAATTTATTCACTTCTCTGTAACATTCCTAGCTAGTTTTGTGATCCCTCTCCAGATTCTATTTCCCATCTGTAAAATGAAGGGGCTGCACTTGGAGTTCCCTGAGGATCACAGCTTTGCAGATTTTGAGGACCATACTTTCACTTGTAACTTTCCCCTGTGGATGAGTCCTCTCTTACTCCAAAGGGCAGAGAGGGCTCTTACCTGCAGAGTTTCTGTCCAGTGTCGGCTCACAGGACATTAGCAGGTCTACCTATTGGTCAGACCCTTCCTGCTGTAGGGAGAACCAGCACAGTTCCTCCTAGGCCAGTGATAGTGAACCTTTTAGAGCTTTCAGAGATACAAACAGCCCACTGCCAGCATGCATGCCATAGGTTTGCCACCATTGTTAGGCTGAGAGGCCATGGGATTTCAGTAGGGTTTTCATGCAGGGAAGCCTGGATTGGGGGTGGGGAAAGATCATTTTCCTTGGGCTTGGTAGCACAGGCCTATAATCTCAGCACTCTGGGAAGCTGAGGCAGGAGGATTGGAAGTTCAAACCCAGCCTGGGTAATTCAGTGACAGACTGAGATCCCGTCTCAAAATATATTTTAAAAAATTGTAAAGTGCAGGGACATAGGGGTATAAACCTTTGGAGCTATTAAGAATTAAATGGCCAGGAATTTAGGTCAGTGGTCCTGCTGCCTGCCTCAAAAGCTCAAGGTCCCAAATTCAGTCCCTGGTACAAAAAAAAAAAAGAATTGAACAGCTGGGGATTTAGCTCAGTGACACTGTGCCTGCCTCGAAAGCACAAGGTCATGAGTTTGATTCCCGATATCAGAAAAAATACCAGTCTGACATTCCTTTGAATGGCTCAGAAAATCTCTGGAATGAACAGTAAGTTATTTGCCATTTTTACCTCCCGGGCAAGTTTCCTGGAAAGTATGATTACATGGAAGAAGAGGGTGGAATAAGAGAGTTAATGTAGACAGTGAGATGTGTGGGGCTACATTTTGATTGTGACTTTCCCCTAGATACTATGTTGGACCCCAAAGCCCTGCTCTGAAGCTAGTCTTTACCTGAA